TGGTAGATGCAACCATAATTTTATGGTTAATTCAACCATAATGGATTATGATAGATCCAACCATAATTTTATAGTTAATTCAACCATAATGGATTATGATAGATCCAACCATAATTTTATGGTTAATTCAACCATAATGGATTATGATAGATCCAACCATAATTTTATGGTTAATTCAACAATAATCCATTATGGTAGATCCAACCATAATTTTATGGTTAATTCAACCATAATCCATTGTGGTAGATTCAACCATAATGTTATGGTTAATTTTTGGCAGGGTATCGAGAGAACTTTCAATCCTTCCAGGCGGTTTTTCGAAATTCCTAAATTTTTGAAAATGTTTGAAACCGAGTACCTAGGTCGCTGCGTCTCGTTGAGACAAGCAACTTTGGTCTTATGTACATAATCTTATGTACAAAATCATTTCATTACTTACTAGAACAATACAGGCGCAGCGCGCGCCTGTATTGTTCTAGTAAGTGTAAAAATCATCTTATCGATAATGTTTGATATCGATAAGTTGTGCGAATTGAAGCAAAGTTGACGTAACGCGTGCTCAAAGTAATTAAAAAAATTTATAATTATATCGTATCGGTATGAATTCTTTGTCAGGTGCGATATGCATAAATTAAAGTAGCTTTGTTTATATAATCGGAATATTTTACATTATACATAATTAATTATATCTTAATTAGATATGCATGAAAATAGTGAAGAAATGGTTAAATTAATACAACAGTTGGCTCACACTAATGGCAAACTAAAATCGCCGATCAATTTAAATATTAGCGAAATGAAAGTCGTGAAATTAAATCCTTTACAATGGTTTAATTATAACGTTATGCCGAAGAAATTGAAACTAACCAATACTGGACACACTGGTAAAAAATGAGATTTGTTTACACAACCAATTTAAAAAAAAATAATTGTATCTATTTTCATAGTGATTCTGAGCACAAAATCGCATGCAGAACGGCCGTATTTGTGCGGTGGCCCTTTCGCTGGCAATTATGTCTTTTCGCAGATACATTTTCATTGGGGTAAAACTGATATGAGTGGTAGCGAACACTACATCGACGGTGGAAGGTTTTATTTTTATTTTCTGTTCGTAGATCACATCCTTTTTTTAGTTTAAACGTACTTATTTGTAGCATGCCTATGGAATTACACGCGGTACATTATAAAAGCAATTATGAAACTCAAGAAGCAGCTTTTCGCGAAAATGGTGGTGTCGTAATTTTAGTATATTTATTTCAGGTATCAGAAATTGATCTTTATTTAAAAAAAATTAATTCTTTTATATAATATTTCTATCGTCACACTTTCCTCTTTATTGTTTTTTTTGTTTTTTAATATTTTCTAAAATATGTGATTTTAGACATGAAATAGGAGTATATGCTTATAGTTCAGGAAGTAATGTGTATATATTGAGAATAATATTGTACACAGCTCCAAGCAGCCCCTAACCCACTTTTCGACGATATTATAAGAGCATTATGTTTTGTCCAAGCGGCTCACTCTTCCGTCCGTTTAGTGCCTTTTCCTCTAACAAACATTATACGATGCTTTCAACGTGATTACTTCGTTTACTGGGGTTCCGTGATAATGACAAGTATCAGAAATTGTGTACTTTGGTTAATAAGTAGAGAACCATTAGGAATATCCATCGAGCAAGTAAGTAGAAAGGACAAAATGATTGATAAACGGTCTAAACAATAATTAAATAAAATACGATTGTGCTATGTAATTAGTTTATCTCGCAAACTCGATTTTACTTTCAAGGCTGCGGAGTTCCGCACACTGTACGATGAACACAAAGTGCCAATTTTGACAAATTGTCATCCATTGCAAGATAAGGGTGATAGAAACGTTTTTCACGTATGTCCTAGTGGATCTAGATATGCGACACTTCTGCGCATTCCGCATAATTTCAGTGATCCTTGTATTCAGAATGATGATGGCAATGATGAACAATGATGCACTGGTTATATTATATATTGCTTGTCATTGAAACTTATAAATCCAATTTTACAATTATTATTTATAATTATAAAATATATATAAAGTAAAGATAACAATATTACAATTATCATTTATAATTATAAAATATATATAAATTGTGTGCAAGAAGCGTCTAGAAACTGTTTCTTCTTAAATTATTAATATTTTAATTTCTTTTAAAGCTGTTACATTTATTTCTTTCTCCTACGACGTCTTTTTTCCCTTTCCTCCTCGAGATTGCACCCGGGATAAAAAGTGGTACAGTCGACACCGCCCAAGCCTAGAACGGATGCTCTCACAGAATCCAGCATTGCCGACCACGGAGTCCTGTGTAGAATTCTACCTGACAACCAACTCATGCCCAAGCTGAAAAGAAGGCTCTCGATGTTACCGTTACTCGATGTTGTCCAAGATATAATCCTAAATCGCTGACCGTTGATGTTGCGTCGTTTAATTCACAAGATGATATGTTTGCATTTTGGTTTTGTAAAAATCGTTAATAATTACTATTACATATCTGTTACCTCCAAACGGGAACCCAAATTCTACGACCATCCTTGGTTTCCTTCGAGTATCGATTATTCTCGCACAGTACTAAGCGCAGACAATTACCGGAGTCCTCTTTGGCGACCATAGCCGCTTCGATGGACCGCAAAACGCGATAGGACAAATCATTCAAGTCCTCATTACTAGCGGAAGACAAGGAAAGAGGAATTGCATGTCTCTTGGAACGTCTTGTCATCATCATCATCATTCCGTTATTATTCTAAAATGTGAGAAATATTCTTAAGGCGTGCCGTTGAGATATCTCGTTAAACTTATATGCAGCTGCTCTGTATTATCTTTACTTTGAAAAATAATTGATATTTTTTCTGATCAAATGGTCAAATAAAATAATTTTAATACTGAGGCATTCATCAGCAACTGGATGACAAACAATCCGAATGCTAAGAAGGCAAGCGCGGTGAGCGCGATTTCGAAAAAGTCCCTGATCGAGAGCTCATGTCCCTTTCCTTTGGAATACGAAGCCTTATATTCTTCCTCCTGATGCGGCGGGTAATAGTATTCCTCGTGGATTGACGGGAAGAAATCGCTATGGTGTGCAAAATTGTCACTATGCTGGTGACCAAACGAGGGTCCGAAAGCGTGATGGAAAGCCTGATGTCCCGACGACGATGACAACATATCATCTATTTGCAGAATATGTAAATATTAAGCTTTAGAAAATTTTTCGCGTATATCGAAAAACTTGCAATAGCTTCTGAATTCTTCACCTCCGTGAGATGGTTCGTAAAAGCCTACTTTTCCGGATGGCAGAGGAGCTTGCATCGCGTAACCCGTCACTTCGCCGTCGAACTCCTCAATGTCGTCTTGAACATCTTGTTTCTTTTTTATCTTCTTGTGAGGCGCGTAGTGTCGATACACGTCGTCTAACGTGGTCGTTCTGTCATAGATATATGATAGAAAAATTGAATCACATTTTTCGTTCTATTTTATTCTATTTTATAAAATTTAATTTCTATGGAATATCATAAAAAAATTAAGATAAACAAACATAGTTTTCTTCATTCCTGCATTAATATTACTTCAAAGTACTTTCAATTTGATTTGAAATTTAGAGATTCACCGTTGCAGCCAATTTTTATATTTAGAGCTTCCTTCGTCCGCCAGAAGTTTATCATGAATCGTAACATTGTCAGCGCCTAGAAAATCATGCTTGTCGGTTGTTGGTAGAGATTCAGGACGTCGTTTCACTCTAGGAGTGCTCACTTCCTTGAAAATTTCTTCCGCCATATAGCCGTGACAAAGATATTCATTCATCCTTTTTCTAATAGTACATGTTGATTAATATAATATCAACGTTTGTAGCACTTTTTTCAGCTTGCTGATTTTGTGATCAAATATATTTACCTATGGTAATCCATTTCGTTCAACGCTCTATCGAAAGATCCATCGATGGTTTCATTTTCCATTAACTTGAAAACACTGTCACTTTGATTTTGCTCGTTAAATAGAAACGATCCAGGTAAGAGATCCACAGAAAGTATGTCATTTTGATCGATACAAAACTCATTACCGTCGTCAAAACATTCCTGCGTCGATACCGTACGAATTACAGAAAAAATCGCGAAGTGTATTATTGCGTAAATTCGTGGTGAGCACTTTTCACCGTGTTTCGACGAAATTTTTAGTGCCATTCTCGCTGTGCTACGAGAATTGTCACCGCAGCGAAGACGACTGTGACTGACAAGAAGACGACACGCTCGTGTAACAATCTTCTTGTCTACTAGGAATAATTGCTTTAACCGTAACGTTGCTTAAGCTGCGTTACTACAGTTTTATTTACAGTTGTAGGCACATCAAGAAAGACATCAAGCATGTATCTGATGATTAATAATTTCCAAAACTCGATAGTTGACAAATAGCATTAGATAATAGATAAAATTAAAAATTATGAATTATATATCATAGATTGTCGCGTAAATATAAATTGAAACTTATTTAAAATCTTAGATATATCAAGAAAATATTTATTAAATTACAGGATCAAAAAATGTGTTGTAAAATGTAAATAAGATGCTATCCCTGATATCAAAATCGAAAGAGGAAACACCCGCATACCTGTAAAAGCGGGTAGAACATCTGTTTAGATTCATGACTAATCCTCCTGATTGGTGACAGCACCCACCGATTTACGCGTAATCCGACACTCATGATTAAATACGTTTATTAAAAACCACTTACGACGCTCTTATGAATGTTTCAGAAACGGAGGGTCTGCCGGGGCGTCCGCCCCGGGTCGAGGTGGTAAGACAGGGTAATGGGACCTTTGTTCCCCTGGGAACGCGCTCACCTGTCTAATATCTCGCGAGAGTGGCTATATCTGTACACACACCAAAAGCGGCCAGTTATACGCCGAGCTTACTGAAAATTAATCGCGCAGTTTCGAAAGAATCCTCGCGTCTCTCGCGTCTCGTCCTTCCGACTGAAATAAACGTTTCTCACGCGATTATTAATAGCGTCGTATTCGCAAAATTGCTCGCACACCTCAGACAAATGTAAAAAATTATATTTAGAGATTATTAATTTTCTTCTTTTCTACTGAAATATTATAATAAGCTATTTTGAAAAATTATAATTAATATACAAAGAGAAATAAAAAGTAAGATAATAGATAAATAAGTAATAAATAAATAAGGATATTAAGATGTTTTTCTTTCAATTTTTCGCGCTTTAAATTTAATATTTTTAACGTAGAAAAAAAAATTATAAACATAAAATATTATTTTTAGAAACGTAGACGAAATCGTTTTAACTGTAGTCGTTTTAATCGCGCATTTCACCTTTTGCGTGAACACGACCTGTGCCGCGGTTTTGTGCACGCGTGAGTCCACCCTCCTTTTCTCAGGTGCTTGATTGATCGTTTCAATTACGTGGCGCAGCGTGCATCAAACGTGAGAGTAAACTTCGCAGCGAGCAAATGGATCGTTTATTTCCAAACATTTGCGAGCGGATGCGTTGTGGATCGTGTATAAAGCAAATGAATCGCAAATAGTCGCGTATTATACAAGCGCATCCTTCGAATGAATCGGAAGCGATCTTAATTCAAATGAAAGCAATTCTCATTTCGCGCGGTTTTACCTCTCGTAAATTTTAATTTGCAATTTAAAAGATTTTCAGGAAGGCACTATTATAAAAGATTTAGAAGGAATGTTTAAGCCTTTACGCTAGCTTCCAGGAAGTAATGTCCTCAGTCGTAAATTAACGTGTGCGTTGACCATGTCGTTCCTTCCTCTCTTCGCACCTAACAACGCGTCTTAAGCGCATTTCACTTCATGTATTTAAGGTTCAATATTTGTCGCGGTCGCAAGTACGTGTAAAATGTTCAACCCTGCGATATAATCGGCATGCGAAAAAGCGTGTGTAACACGAGATAAGCGAACTTAAATTCGCGTCTGAATATAAAAATAACCAGCTCACAAAACGCAACAAGCTAAAACGCTTCATCAATTTGATAACATCCAAGTGTTTAGAAATATTTGTAATTAATGGTTTTATACATTATTTTATTTTTGATATACTAGAATTTTGCGTAATGTGTATCATTCTTTATCTTCAATTTTGAAGTTTTACATTCTTTCGTATATAAATAGAAAGCAATGCTCTAAAAAATATTAATATTTAATGCTATTTTAATGTAACTTTAGTAGATTTATGTATTAAGATTCGAAGATTTCTCTCTCTAACATAATAGTTATGTTATCCAAATTTAAGCAAAATATTGAAAGGTTGATAATGGACTACGTTTTCAGAATACGACACCACATGCTGAAGTATCTAATGTATACGAAAAGAATGATATACGTTCTTCCACAAAGACGAAATAACTCAGATGGATCGGGGAAAGGATCGATGACGGGGAGCCGCGCGGTAGAAAGGGCTCACAATCGCCATTGGTCCTTTTAGCCGCGGAAGCTTGGAGCCGAGTGGATTTACGGCGCTCGAGGATGAACATTGAGATTGGCACGGGTAGCCCGGAGACTAATGGACGCGCCATTCGCGAAAATGGCCGCCATACCGCGCCCGTAAACAGAAATAGCACGATATGGTTCGATAAGGGCTATCATCAGCGTTGAAAATTGAGAGTCTCAAATTGTGTGAATAAATACAACACGGAAGCTTTTATTTTTATTTCATTATACTTCCAAAATATCTGGCATCTTCTGGTCACTCCAAAAAAATTTATCTTTTCATACAAATTTAATTATAAATTTACAGTATTAAGTTATAAATTCAGATTTTCGTACAAACGTAATTTACACGTTATAGCTAAGTAACTTACTATTTGTATATTGTTACTTATGGATTGCAAAAGATGTTAACAAGATCTAATCGTCCGGGTACAATAAAAAAGCGTGTATCTCTGGAGTGCAGTGAGCACCACTGCCCGTAAGTTCGCTAAACGCGTGAAGAAGTGTTTTGCGGTACTTTTTCATGATGTTCTTCGCGTGGCAGAAGCGTTTATCCATTGCTAAAGCGTAAACGGGAAAGAGAGGAACGACGACCATCGTTTTACTGGCATAAAGTTCCGAGATAGAGGGGTCAAAGAAGGCGGCCGCTGCGCGAGCATCGCGAGCATCTCTGCGCGTTTGGGACCAATCGGAGATCCACCTTTTGATCCCAGATGAATCCTTTTTCGCCGTGGCGAAGCTCACGAGTGCGCAAGCCGAATCGTCGAGCTCAAGCACTTTTTTGGAAAGAACCATAAAACGCGTGAATGCCTCGATAAAATGGGAATATAGGAAATAGACCCGTCGTATGAATTTGTAAGATTCGGTTAGGGTGATAATATTGACGGAAAATGCAATATCTTGAAAATAACAATGTAATACGCGAGATAGATTACATCCAAGAAATGACGTTTTATATATAGCATATTGTATAAACATATTTTTAAAACAATAAAATTTTAATAAAATTTAGAGATATCAAATATTATATGTAAGTACAGTTTCAATTGTAATCATCGCAATTACAAATAATTTTTAAATATATTTTATATGCCACTATTTGTTTAGATATGTTAGGTCGAGATAATATTGTACCAAGTTGAGTTGCTGAATATTGTGAATGGTGTATTCAGTTCACAGATAAAGAGATCGATAAAATATTACGAACGATTCGATAAAATTTGAAAGCTATAACAATTCTAAAATAGGAAATCAACTATAAAGTGCCGCGATCCCGCGATCCCTACTCCGATCAAAGATGCTGGGTGAGTGGGGGATTTCGAGGTGTGAGATGTTCTTCCAGTCTCGCGGGATGACCTTCCCGTGGGAAGCTGGTGGGGATGCTGGGAGGTCCTTCTCTGGACCACAGACACGTGCCACTTGTCATACTTTCGGAAGTACTTGCTTTCGGACAGTTCGGAGGGAGATTAGTACGAGATCAGGTGTGATCGATCAAAAGGATAACGCGTGCTAAACCATTTACAATTGATTCATAAAAAATTATTTTTTTTGCTATACAACATGTTTTACCAATCACAAACTATAAAAATGTTTCTGTTACTCTCATTATACAACGAGAAATAAAAACGGATATGGTATGCATATAACAATCGAGCCATAAATCTCTCTAAATGAACAATTTATTCAAATAGCTGTGAAATATAAATAAGAAACGTGAAAAGAAACATGACTGGATATCAAATGTGCAGTGTGTTGAAATAAAAAAAAACTAACCGGAACATTTATGTTATTATTTAAGTGAAATCAAGATCATTGATTGCAGCCAAGATCGATGATTTTTCAGAAGATGGAATTCTACCAGAACCGCGAGAAAATGAACGATGCCGTTTATGATCTTCGTCGGACAAAATCGCTCCCGAGCGAGAGCGAAGTTTTTTTAAACAACACCGAGCGGGATAATAGATCACCAATTATAAATCGGGAATCTGCCGAATATGCATCTGATTCCAGCTGCGAGGGTTACAGAGAGTTTCAAAAGCAACAAATCGAAAGGAGAAATTCGTCTCCGATCGCCGTGTCTAGTGCTTTCACTATTGACAGCATCCTTGGAAGAAATGAGAAAAGAGATCAAACTTCGAGAATGAATAGTTCTGGTGATAAAGAAGAGGATCAAGATGAGACGGACGAGAGAATTGAGGGACATTTTGTCAGACCGACAGCAATACCAGCTGCACGTCCCGGTAAGTAAAAATATCGTAAAGACGTATATTTCGTTTAGAAAATTTGTTGAATATACACAAATTTAAAAATGTAGAATCATCAATATGAAATCAATATCATCAATGTATTACGATAAGAAAATATTACATTATACATTAGATATTAGTTTTTAAAGTTTTATCTAAAGTTAGAAGAAAATTACAAAATCTAACATAGGCTTCTAAGTTTAAAGATTATTTTGCCATGTTCCTATATGTATTTATGAAAAATGTCGCAAGAATTTTAAATGTTTTATTCTTAAAATGTTCTAAAGAAAAAATTTAAGATACGATTTAATAGATATAGAAGGAGGCTTGTATACTCATACGGGACTGTCGTACCCTGAAGGCGCGCTACCTGATACTTCGGCGTATTCTGCAACATCACTCGCATCAGCTTCATTATTATACAGCAGCTGGTTTGCTCAAACAAAGCCTGGACAATTATTTGGCTTGCAAGGTAAGTTTATATTTTGGAATTATTTAATTTATTACCGAGAAAAAGTTGTATCAGGTTTATTTTTTACGTTTTTAATTTAAAGAATTGTTGAATTAAATATTATGAAATTTTATATTTAGAATAATTGAATTTTTTTTTTTATTATCAAAAAATAATATCTTATTAAATCTGTCATTACTCTATCTTAATTTTTGAGGGCTTAAAAACATAATACTCTCCACGCACACAACACTGTCAACTCTACCAAAATATTCAGCAAATACTTTTGCCGTGAGAAAAATCGTTAAGATGTTAGAAATATCTTTCTTTGTATGAAGGCACGAATGCTCTCGGAGAATCGCGACGACAAAAGACTCTAATTATTATCCACTCGTAGTAACTTATCGCTGTAATTCTATTTTCGCGAACAATGCCAAGAGAGGTGTAAGATGGGCACGCTCTTTCTCGGCTTCACAACGAATATTGGATATTATACGAGGCGCTTGTAGTAACAGCGTTTCGACACGCGAGGCACACATCAGTAGCCCAGTTGTTGCATCCCCCTGTTTTTGGCATGTTACTGGTGAGATATTAAATACTTAGCCAGTTAAAAATCCAATATTGATCAAATCGCGTAATATTTCACTTTTCTTGACTCTCAACGCCACGAAAAGTTTTTGTACTTTGTTATCTTAAAAATTCCTTATTTTTTTTTGGATATCTAAATTTTTTTCTATAATGTTTTAAGCTATCTAGATTTATTATCATCAGAATTATATAATACAAACATCAGATTTGCAGTGTAAAATTATCAAATTTGCAATAAATTACTGTGTTACGTAATTACGCGTAGATACTTTGTTAAAATCTCAAATATTTTGCGACTTCAAGATAAGATTGAAATCCGCCATCGTTGTTCTCCCTTTCTGGCTACTATCCGCCATGCTGTTAGGAGCCCATTTATCAACACCGTTGGTCTAACTATCTTCCGCGAAGGTGTTAAATGTCTCTGTACACTCGTAAATCTTGGTCCCGCCGGTTCGTCACCGTACGCAATCTTTTTTCCGGTCACCAAAATAGTCTCTCAACTTCTAAGAAATGCAATTATCTCATCTGCGATTCATGTGTATCAATTTTATAATTAAATTTGTATTCCATATTGATTTAACTGACATAACAAACCTACTTTTGTGAGTTTGCGTATTGAATCTTATAGAATCTATCGTATTTAACGATCTCGTCACATGCCTTTTCTACTACTAGAAAAATGTTAACTAAACAGATATTTTACACTGTTGTATAGTTAAAGAAACACTTGAACATTATTTGCAGAGTATACATTACACTAAGTTTCTTATTGAGCATAAGGTTTTATGTATATTGAAATATTTTAAATCTTTCATACTACAAGGATTTTGAATTTGCGCAATAACTAACATAACATTAAAAATTAAATGTGTCAAGATATTTTAAACGTATAAATTGTCTAGAATATATTGTAAGATAAAATTAAAATCTTTTTTTATATTAAACCTAAAGATCGAAACATAATTTACGATTTAAGAATATCGAGATGTTTTATATCTCTAAAATATGGTACTGGAAATCTGACTTTTTTATACATTAAATATGTAAATTATTCGAGATAAATCTACAATTTTTTCAAGTCGCAAAGGTGCAAGGTGTCATGTTCTACCTGGTGAAACTATGCCGTTCTCCGTAGTCATAGATGGAAGGGTCCGGTAAAAATGTAAAGGTCTTGTACAAATACGCGACATCTATTTGTTGACTCGTCGTGTAAGGGCTGCCCGGCTAACTGGTGATTAAACACGAGGAAAGAGCAAAAAAATTTCTATTTCTATATGAAGGCATCGCAATCTCATGAACTCTCCGTCAGGCGAGACTGCGCTATTTTCAGAATTTCACGAACAAATAACGTTTTATAGAAGAAAAGAAAATTGCTGTTAATATTATTAACATTTTATGAAAGATTTCAACATATGGATAATACATTTTGGTTCCGAAACATATTATGTTTAGTATATGCACTTTTATAAAAATGATAAGAATATCATGAGTAGAAAATGCAAAAATCTCTAAAAAAATTATTTGGTGTAAAATAAATGATGACAATAATAATTATTACCTAATCTTTTTTTAAAGTTAAATAATATTTTGATATAATTAAAAAATATTAAGCATAAGAAAACTATGGATTTGCTTATTGTTAATTCAGTGCATGATAGTGCGGAAATAGTAACTGTTATTGTTATCTACAAATTTCGCATCGTGTTATGCTATTTGTTTTCAAGCGTGAATCACTCGTGGATACTTGCCAGTGTGGTTAACAATTGCCGTATTGTTTTAGCGCAACTAATTACGTTATAATATCTCATATCTGCTTCTCAAAGAAAATGTATAGTACTTATTTGCACTGCAATGATAATCGCATCCAAACGTTCTCCGTCATAAATTGTTTGCACAGCTCGTTGCCGCTTCGCCTCGACGATATTGACAAGTAGGATGTCACACATTCCGCAAACAGTCCCACACGTTTTAGACACGTTCGGTAATTCTAGACAGAACTCGATGGGCGACGCGCCCCGAAATCGTAAGAAAGTGATAATTGAGTGCGAGCTGGCGAAGTTAGCCGAGCAATTAAGAAGTGCGATTAGAATATTAAATTTTGATTATCGCAGCGATAAATCTTCGAGTGCGAGTGTCAGAAACTGTCAGAGATCTTAAAACCCCTCGCATAATTAACAATGGCTATGATATATCGACAGCAGTTGACATTGCTGGTTGTATGACAATCGATAATTAGTTAGTGCAATGTTAGTCAATACTGATGCAGGGACTGTTTTTTTTTTTTCAGCACCGAAACCGAGCGGCAGGAGGTCGAGAAAACCGGGTATTGATCGAAAACCACGTCAAGCTTACAGTGCAAAACAATTGGAAAGACTCGAGGCAGAATTTAAGGTATAGTTTTTCATTCTGCGTTATAAATCTTCTAACTAATCATTTTTTCTTTTTTTTTTATGACGCCGAATATTCTTGTCTTATAGATCGACAAGTATCTCAGTGTGAGTAAGCGAATGGAGTTGTCCAAATGTCTGAATCTCACCGAAGTGCAGATCAAAACGTGGTTCCAGAATCGCCGCACCAAATGGAAAAAGCAATTGACGTCGAGGCTGAAGATCGCGCAGCGGCAGGGTCTTTTCCCACCGACATATTTTCCGACCACCCAGTACCCTCTTCTGCCGTATTATGCGGCACCTTTGATGTTCGGCGGCCCGCTATCGGACGATGCAAACCCTAGCTTGCCGACTCGACCCGCCGTATCATCCTCAGATACGGTCTGACACAGCACAGACTCAAACTACTTGGTCGATCGTCGGCCGCGCAACCGCGAAGTGCAATAAGATCTTCCGTTGGCCATTGCGCAAATTTTTAGTGTTTTTCTTTTTCCATTTCTGCGTTATCATACGAGTGATTGATATGTAATTATAATCATTGATATGTAATTATAACCGTTGATATAATTATATACTCGCAATCTATAGCGTAGATAAGTGTCGACTTCCGAAGCGACTTTTTTTTAAATACGATACTTTGAGATCGATTCTGTTTACTGTACATAAAATCTGATCATTGTATATTTACGTTATGCCTAGAGTTTCACGCGAAACGTTCTGAATTTACTTTTGGTTTTTGCGTTGCTAGCGAAATAAGAATGTATTCAAATAACAATATAAGATGCGATGTTTTCAAGACAAAATTATAAATTTTCTTTAAGATTGATTATCTTTTTTGTACATAAAATATGATTCATGTAACATCTACAAGATCCACTATATAAAAAAAATAGATGAGTTCAGAATTTACTCGCATTTCTTTTTAATAACTAATATAGGATTATATTTCATTTATATAGTCGTGTAGATAATCGTTTCAAATTGCGAAACCTATTAGATCGATTGTCTTTGTACATAAAATACGATTATAGATTTATGTAATGTCTCCGAGCGTTGTATGAAAAATAGATGGGCTCTAGGTTTACTCGTGACTCTCCACGTTTCCGGTAACGACGAAATAAGATTATACTCAAGTGGCAGTCCTGTGTAAGTGACGCGAAAGTGACACAAGCGCCCGTATGGAAATGCTATGTAAGAAGTCGTGAAAATAATATGGAAACGATATGGAAATGACGTTGATATGGACGGAGTGATACGATGTGTCACGTTCGTCTTTTTTCCGAACAGTTGTAAAGAAAAGCCGTGCTTCGGCCGAGAAAACCTTATCAACTTTATGAGACGAGGCACGATGTATAATTGAAAGACTTAAGGCGTGTCGGGAAAAAAGTTGTACTATTATTTTTAGTAGCTTAGTAGTTTAAGAGCGAGATAAAAAGGAAACTTCTTATGTCAAACTTCGCGAGAATCACGACGAAGAAAGGTTGTCGAAGGCGGGAGAACGAAGGCGGCAGAAAGGTCGGGGAGGTTTTATGCTCGATGAAATAATTACATATACGTAAGACTTTGTTCCTAACTCTCGTGCATAGTTTAGCGAATCGCGTCCTTTGCTTGCGCGCGCGTAACGAACAAAGCTTACGCGGCAGAGTATAATTTATCGACGTAGATACGAGCCAAGCCGCAGCGTTACGTGTGTTATCGAAGCGATTCGTATGCAACATGCAGTTCAAATATACACTCAAGTTAGGGTCGTGCATCTCTATGTAAAGTTTATGGGGAGGCCGCGGCAATGCGGCGTTTAAAAATGAAAGCGGAATATCCTGAATTATCGAACACACCGGAAGAAACGTAAAAAAGATAGTAACGAAGAGTGAGTCCACGAATAAGTAGCCTTTACGTTTTCAATAAATAATATCGCGCAGTCTCTTTAACGGAGAAATAAATAATACGTCATTTTTTTTAGATTTTCTGCGAAAAGATAAGAGAAGAATTTGATAAAAATAGATTCTCAATAATTAAAGGCGTTTGATGAGAATATAAAGCTTGAATTATATAAATGTAAGATATAAAGTAATAAAACTGCAAGTTAATTGGGTCACGATGCACATAATTATCTTTTTGCGACGAATAACCGAACATTAATTAATCCGGAGGAATTTCGAAATCCGACGTGTCAAGTGTTCTTCTTCTCCCTGCAGCACTTCTCGATCCTTAGTTCGCGTTTTTCGCTATTATCGTCGCGCCTGGCGGCCAGCTTATCAGTCTCGCAGGCGGCGTTTCGTCCCGCCGGGCACTTCGTCCTCGTCAACCTCGGGAATACGCTGAACTTCTTGCGTTTCTTCGTTCTCGTTTCTTTGCGCAGCGCCACGCTCGCGTCGGGGCACAGTGTGCTGGTCTCGCGCGTCCTCACCTTGACGGACGACTGTACGGTGCGCACCAGCAGCAACGGGCTGCAGCTCTTATCGAGCATCGGGAACGTCTCCGTGTGCAATTTATGAGCTGAAACTTGGACACACTTGTCCGACTGTTCCGGCTTGGAGGCCGCTGCCGCGATCGCCAGCGTGTTCTCGGCGCACAAGTAACAGCAGTTCTTCGTGAAATCCGTTGGCGGCGGTTTCCTGGGAATATGATCTTCGACGACGATGTCCTCATCGCGCGTTGAGACTTGCGCGTCCGTAAGATGCAATATTTCCTCCTCTTGCTTACGCCTTTCACTCCTTTCTTTCTTCTCTCTCCTTTCCCTTCTTTCCCTCTCTTTTCTTTCCCTCTCCTCTTCCTCTCTCGCCTTTCTCTTCTTTCTGTCTTTCCTCTCCTTCCTAACATCCACGGAGATGTCCTCCTTATCGGCAACTTCTACCGTTTCGTCTTGTTTACGACTTCTCTTGGATTTCTCCGAACCACTTCGGGGGCTTATCGATTCTCGATGCGACGCGGTTGATACACCGGCGACCGCCGCCTCGTCGCGGTTTCCGCACTCCCTACTTCGCTTCTTTATTATATGTTCGAGAAACCGTCTCGTCGGCTTACCCAGAACGCGTTTGGAATATTTTTTCTTTCTACGGCACAATGAGACGCACCATAGACGCAATATAGCGCAGGATTTTGATTGATATCTATGTGGCGAATGGTCGCGCGTGTCGACCCCTTTATGATTTTGCTCCGTTTTTTCGGGATTTTTCGGAACGCTTCCCTCATCCTTTGTCGTATAGTTGACACGCCACTCACGGTTTGCATTGTGCCAATCTAACGGTGCGAATTCATTCTAACAATTAATCTTGATAACGGTTGCAAAATGATAATCCTTATAATACAAAATATTGATTTTAACGCGGAAAAATATTTTAATATAAGCGGAAATGACGCGAGAATTCTCTATGAGTTAATTGAATCATTTAATTAAATTTACCCGCATCCGTTTATTATTTTCATTCAGACGGGCGTATTATATCGCTTTGCAATATATGAAACTTGGATATCTATTTCGGCTTTTAGCAGTAAAAAGAGAAACGGTATCCGCAGTACGGAGAATTGAAAACGGAAAGGAAGTAAAAGCGCCAAGGAAATGGAGTTATTTTTCAGGTTGATTCAAAGAGTTGAATATACATTGCTTACTACCAGATCCATATGTTGAGGAACGCGCAGCATTTTGCGATAAATGCGTTTCATATTCCGTTTGTGCATTTTTCCAGCCAGATATTTGTTCCTTAGGACGTCGTGATAGATGGTCGGTGTATTGAGCGATGTGTACGGATCGATTCGCTGTTACAGATTCATCCGAATTCACTGCCGGACGCATTTTCATCCAATCTGATTTTTTAAAATTCCATTTTATTCGTTAATGATTAATAACCTTAATTATTCTTAATTAAATATGTAATTCCGATAATATAGATTACTGCTACGTATTCGTAACAAATAAATTATTTCTTTATATTCTCTGAGAGACAAAGGTAATATATAAATAATGATCCAATATGTTAATCTTTTAAAAAACCTAGTAAATAGTCGCAGTTAGAAAGGATTATTATCATAGGTTAACATATCGCATTTTTAGGTAAAAAATGGATGAATGGGATAATACTAACGAATAGCACCCTATAATTTCACTCCACATATTGGGTTTTTACTCATCGCTGATAAAAAATAGGACCGGTGCGGTTTCCACTTTGTTCTATTGAAATATCTCATCCATTAGTGAAATTTGCGTTTTAACCAAAACTGTCAGCGCCTTCATTCATTGCGAAAAACTACCGAGAGATCGAAGATGCTTTTAACGTATATTAAAGAAACATGAGCTGATTTTTTCGTCAATTAAACATTTCATCAAATTTTTATTTAATATAATATTACATTTTGCGTGGCAGTTGAAATATTTCTATTTCCTGCGTTCAAATGTTCTTTCTTTTTAGATTTTACTCTCAAATTTTAATACTAACTATCGTTTATCGTTTAATTTAGATTATAGATTATAAGTATTATTAAACACATTTTTCATTTTATTATTCATTAACTCAACTTTTTGTATTTATGAAAAAAATGTCATATTAAAAATACGCCCAATTAATTTTTTTAATTCAAAAATTATTTGTATTTTGCAATTTGCATTCTCTTGTAAATAACTTGCAGTAATATCCTGCTTTATGTTATATTAAAAATTTTGTTGCTCCTAGATTAACTTTCCATGATCAAATTTTACTATAAACTTAATCTTCATTAAAATTAAATTTCGTATAAATTTTGTAATAATATAAATATGCATCAAGAGACTTCGCGCGAATAAATCGAGCAACGAGACGCTGTTGCGCACACGTGCTGCGTCAATGCCGCGTGATGTCATGTTATACAGTACAATGGCGACTACATCGACCGGTTAGTGTTGCCATCTGACGGCGCCGTTTCTCCAGCGCCCGGAGACAGTGAAGAGTTTCACGATTCGCATCGTGCACGCATATCGTAGGCAGGGAAGTGCAGAGCCCCGGCGGTGGCAGGACTGTGGCCAGCAGCGACGGTGGCGACTTAGTGTTCGTGCGTCCGCCCGCGAGTGTGTGTGCGTGTTTTGTTGCTGCTGCGCTAAATATCGAGTAGTCGTCGTTGTCGTCACGCTGTGCGTGAAGAAACAAGCAGGCACAGCGGGTGTCGTCAGCTGTTTGTTGGCGAGCGCGGACTATCATCGATAAGAAACGGTGCGCCTGAGGCGGAGGGGAAAGCGAGGCGTGCATAGTGGACAGGCGAAAACGGAGGGAAGGAGTGAGCTAGGCATCGCGATCCGCGGGAAGCTAACTCCGAAACGACGAGGGGCGGACTGGATCGTGGTGTGTGTGCTAGTCGATGGTCGTGCAGCGTCCGCGTGCGAGCGCGATCTCGACGGGAACATGATGGCGTAAACCTCGCCGTGCTCCGGAAGCGACGGACCGAGCGAGATAGAAGAGCGAGAAAACGCGAGAAGAGGAGGAAGAGACCGACGGAGAAGGAAAGGGAGAGAGACGCGCGCCGTTCATATTCGTCTGTGTCGCGGTGGTGGCCGTTGCGGAGCGCAGCCGATCGTCCGCGTCCTCCGTTGTAGCTCGCGTCGTCGTCGTCGTCGCCGTCGTCGTCGCTCATTACCGTTGCTCGCGAGCGAGCGAAACGCAACGCGCCGAGCGACTCGTCGTCCGGAGGTGATCGAGACGTCGTTGCGCGTGCGGTAGTGTGTGCTGTTTGCAGTGCTGTTGGAAAGTCAAGGAGGGAAACAAGTGGAGAAGGTAGTGCGGTTCTATAAACGCGATTCGTCCTCGTCATCGTCGTCCGTCGCGATCAACCCTGTTGCTGGCGACCGCGCCACGCCGCGTCCTGTCGCGTCCTGTCGCGCCGTTTTGTTTGTTTGTGTTTGTTCGCGGATACTCGCGAGGTGGTGCCGACCCGGACGCCAGGTAGCCAGCGACAGCGTGTCCCGACTGCAGCGGGGGATATAGTATTACGATGATCAGTGACACGTGCGGATATGTTCTCTTCCTGCTACTGCTGTTGCTGGTTCCCTACATCGAGAGTGGTGAGTTGTCAACCGCGACGATCAGTCGCTTTATTATTATTTTAGTATATCCGGTATATTTCGGTTGCGTTACGCACCCGTAATCAAGTTTTACGTCCGACGCGACTCTCGCGTGTATACATACAGTGCGTAAATTGCGTGAATACGGCGTGTCTGCATGAGTGCGTGGTGTAACGTTCTATGTGTGGGTCTCTCTCCCGTGAATCATCATCCTTTCACGAAGAGCGCGCGCTTGTCGTGTGTCTCTCCGTGTTCTTTGAAGCGGTCGAGCGAATGCGAGATAGTGACCGCGAATACGCCAAGAGAAACCGTATTGTCCTCGAATATCGTGGTTCAAATTTAATTAGAGCATTTACGATAAATAAATGAGTAAAATATTACTGCTTTTATCACGAATAATGTCGTTATCAACTCCGATTTATATCTGAATAATTAATGTGTTATTGTTTGCATTTTTTTATCTGACGTTTGTTTATGCAAGTCTTTTCTGCTCGTTATGCAGTAAAATATTGTATATGAAATTCAAATTGAATTTGTATAACAAAAATTTGTAAAAACATGAAAAGACATTGTCTAGAATTACGTATATAAATTTACAGGTTAATTAAAAAAATGATCATATTTAATTACTGTAAAGTATTTGTTCTGTTATTCTACATATTTATTATAATAGAATTTATTGATTGTGTAATTTGTTTGCTATATAAAAAATGAACATTTATGAGATAATGTTCAAGCTATCATATTTTAAGATTTTTCTGTGCTATAATTTTTAACATGTTTTAGATAAATATACGATAACCATTTAATTTATAATATTCTCGGAAAATTTTTTAAGATCAATAGAAATTATTTCCAAGTATATCCAATGCCAAAACGCTAAATCGCACAAATCCACAAGTTCCAAAATATGTGTTATAAAAAATCTAATTATATATAAATATTGGATTTGAAACTATTTTTGTTATTATATTAAATTTGTAATGATATTAAGTAAATTTGCCATTATCTTTGTGGAATCACTATATGTAAATATGGTTCTTATCTTGTTTAAATTCTCCAAGATAATAACGTCGGCAAAGATAATAAATCTTTTCCGACATTTCGCACGTGTCATTTATTGATCGCAAGTGTTCTCTTAGATTCTCGATACGATTGTTTATTTTATTCACTTTTTATTCCAGCTGTAAGTTATCGATCTTTTCTTTGAATGTTTCGTATGCTGTGTTAGGAGGAAATACGATGCATTGCATCATCATTTCCCCGAAATTCCGAGTTGCATAGGAAATACCGTCGAATGTGATCCTAAAGCGAGTCACATACGAAAAACATGAATCACTCTCGTAACCAAATAATTCTCCGCCAACATTTCTCACAGGCCCTTACGATCTAATAGGTTCATGTGCATTACTATGCGTCATCTAATTGTTAGATTTTAATGTTCACGACTGCTGTTGCAATTTTCAATGTTCGTTGTTATCAACTCTCATTGTTTCACCTTGAATTAATGTAGATGTTTGTGTCACTGCGTTGAATAATATTATACTTTAATTAAACGTGATAAACTGTGCTTTATTTTTCAAGCACGTCTGAATGATTTTAGATGCGAGAAACTTAATTTAAAACCACAGAAGAAACGTAACAACAATTTATCTTTTGTTTTGAGTGAAAGCATGCAAGTATCTGTTTTTTTTATTTTCAAATTTTTCTTGTATTGAAAAACAAGCCATGCGATAGAGAGTGTGCGATTCTATGTCAAGTTAGATTTCATATCGTATTTGTTTCGGCCGATTCTATGTCAAGCTGAATTCGACTGGAATTTTGCAATAAATGGACACGGGCCAGTTTGCGCGAAATTGCAAAAATAATTCGAACTGCAAAGGGTTAATGCGCAAACGTGCGCGGAATTGTACGATCGTTGCGAGACGATTGCGCGAAAGTTTTTCTCTCTCTCTCTCTCTCTCACTCTCTCTTTCGCATATCGCGATGTGAATGGCCCTCGACGGAAGTTGCAATCAGCGATCACCGTCGCACTGGACGATAGTTATACGTCGGTGCTCTCGCGCGCGCGCGTCACCATACTATTTACGGTTACAGGGAAGCGTAAAGAAAGCTTCTGCTCGCACGAGGTTCCTGCGCAAGCCGACGAACATGCCGGACGTTCATAGATGTAATTTATTGAGGGGGCCCTTATCCCGTTAACGCGGGTTAACGATATGCGGACGGGATTAGATTTATCGACCGTCATAAAATCGTCGATTAATACGCGATTTCGATTAGCGGTCCGTAAATCTCGTTGCACGGGGAGATATATCGTCGTCGCTTTACGCGTTACATAGTTTCTTCGCGTTTCTAACCGGACGATCATCCGGAAGTGTTCGCACGTATAAGAATCTCGCATGTACGAAGAGCTCTCGTATTTCAAAGGATCTCGCATGTGCTGGGACTTCTTAAGCGTACCGAGGTTCTCTCGTGTTTGCGAGAGGACTTCGCGTGCGCGGAGGATTCAGCGTTTCTAAAGACCTCGCATGTGCAGCGGGCAGCCTTCGTGTGTGTAAGCAGCTTTTATACACAAACGGCTTCGCGACGATAAGAGCGCGCTCGCGAATATGCTTTCCGCTTGTTCGTAGCATGGCTCCAAGGATCCAAATACACGGTATACAGCGTAATATATCGCAGTATGACGCGCGATATTTCTTCCGGAGACAGAAGCGAGACACCTCGGTCGTCGACTTCTTTCTTATCGAATTTAATTATCACCGATTTCCCGCTGCTTTTCGCGTGAGACGCAAGTTTACCGTTTCACAGAGGACTGTCGGGCTCTCCGGTTAATGAAAACCTTGCGGAAAAGAAAAGAAAAAGGCATATAGTGCGATAAATCCTCGAAATGCTCACTTTGAGAGACAAACAGAGAGAGAGGGAGGGGGGGGGAGAGAAGCTCGGAAAATCGTTCGAACAAAAAGCCGCTTTGGGACATTGCATTGTGCTCGGAATATGAAGATAGAGTTAGGACGGATGGCCGGGTCATTTCATTGTCCCGTGAGCCGCGTATCTCAAGGACAAAAGGTCGGTTTTCTTTTTACGGACTTTTCAATTCCTCGGTGAACCACCCTTCCCGCGCCGTCGGGTTTCTCTCCCAACAAACTTACTTTCGCGAGATATCTTTAAACGGGGCACGTTGCTGCCATCTTCATCCCGGAACGTTATACCACGCGAGACGTGCGCTCCGTCCGCTGGAATAACGTAGCTCAGAACTCGCGACGTTACCTTTTTCACGTGATGAGAATTATATCTCACGTAATTGCGGCGGGGACGATTCGTTCGCAGACGCCGGAGAACTTAGTCCGACGAACTTGGGTCGCGAAATTAATTCGTGTCGCTGGCAATCCCGACGCTTGCCGTCGCCGTCGCCGCCGTTCTCCTCGAAGATCGAGCTTAGTTTAGTCCCAGTTTCTGATTTCTAGCGTAATCAAGCCGATATTGCGTCCATGGTCGCCGTAACCACACAACGTCGTATTTGGGACTCCCATTATTCCGCGCCGCGTCCCGAATGAGTCTGGAGTTTCGCTCAGACAGCGTTTTGCGTTCAAGGTCTATCGTGTTTTAGTTGGTGTTTTACATTTCACCGTGTGAAACCGAATGCATAGATTCGCGCGTATTTCGCAAAGTTCTGCCTCACGGTTTCGGAACAAAAAGTGCTCTCTTTTTCCTTCAGTAGTTGTATTTAAAGTTCTACGTCATCAAGAAGGTTATATACAAGGTGCATACTTTAACAGTTACCTCATAAGCCATTTGCGACACAAAGTAGCAGAATGAAGTAAGAGGTAGCGAGCATTTGTTCTTGAAGTAAGAATGTAATTAGTTGCGTCACGTGTGTTGACGTACTGGATGCTGATACTGAATTCCACGACACTTTTCTGTTATTATCAGTGACAGTCTCTTATTATTTCTTGGTTATATTTTACATTACTGTCTGCATTATTTATGATAATATAAACTACGAATTGGGAATATTCAAAGTTGATAATTACTAATTGCACTTTCATGATAGTTTACTCTAGTGTAATTCTACAGATAAACAGACACTGTCATCGCATAATCATTGATACGATGTTCAAACATTTCAGGCTCTTATTGCGCTTAATCATTAATACAATCATTTGTACCACATTTTAATCCGTTACGTTGCTCAAGTTCAAACATACGACTCGCAGTTGCTGATTAATTAAAGGGATGAAACTTTTGCTCGCGGCACGTCTCTCACGCGAGAGAAAGCTTTTATTGAAGCTGTGCTTGCTTAGCGCTAGAAGGTACTCGCCTTGCACGATGTTTAGCGAGATGAACTTTCGTGGAAATTCCGGGAGCGGACCGCGGGTGAGCGGGGGATCCTCAGGGAATTCGAAATTCCCGGGGATCAAGGGGGATCTTACCCCCGGGGTTATTCCGTATTCAGGGATATAGGTAGTCGCCGCAAAACTTCCCACTCGACATTCCTGGCACAACCGCGCTATTCGACTCCGCTCGTAGGAGCAGAAGGGTTCACTCCGTGGCCCTTACACGCGAGAAACGTTCACCGTCGCACTGACCTTTTCCTGATTTCTAGCTTGCACATCGCGCTCGCGCAAATCTCGTCCTTCTCAATCTTCCGTAAAAGCGGATCGACAGTCGCGGATTTGGGCGATAAAATGTTTTATTTTTTTGTCGGCTTAAAATATGAAAAGATATTAAAGTGATAATAAAATCCGGATATAAATTGTCCATTGTCTCTATAATCCTGATTTCGATTTATCACGTAAAATACAGTTGAGTTTTTGTTAAATTTTACAACGTAGTAACTTGGTGAGAAATGTCTTTTTCTTAGAAATGGACAGTTTCAATTTAATAAGTGCGCTATTTTGCCAACAGCCTAACGAAGAAACTTTATAATGACGGAAATAATTTTAAAAAGTATTCTAATATGGAAGAAAAATAGAGAAGTTACTTCGGTGGCTCAAGCAGAG